AGAACTATTTTAACTACGGGGTCTTCTTTGTCTTCTCCACCGTCGATCTGAAACAGATAGGGTGGTAACAGATTAATACAGAGCAATTAAAGTTAATTATTTATAAGTATTCGCACCTTAATTAACTGTAGACTGTAACGTTCCAAAACTTGCAGGTGTGAAAAGCAAACCAAATACAGGAGAAATGCCATACAGTAAGTTCGTTATTTAGGTGGAATTCACACAGATTTCCAGTTGTACTAACTCATCGGTTGAAAATTGACTGCATAATGTTGTAAAAACGAAAACTGCACATCAACAATATAATCCATGAAAGACCACACCCATGTAGAAATCGGTTGTTTCAGAACGACCAAATTCAACTTTAATTCTAGCTCATTTGTTGGGTATCCTACAGAAATAGATAAAAAACATATTAATTACACTTTTAAATAAATTTTACAATAATCATAGATCCACGATAACGCCGATTTATGATGTCGACAATAGATAACTGTTACAAGAGACAACATAGATGAACGATAATAGCATAGATTGTTAAAAGAAATGTCATAACAGATTAATAAAGAAAAATTAATATTAATTGTCATGCACTCTCACCTTAAATAACTGCAAAAAGTAGCATTCTAGAAACTACCAATGTGATAAGAAAATCAAATTCAAGATGGATACCACTGCAGACAACTTGTTGTTTCAGTGACTTCAAAACTATTTTCCAGTTGCCAAAATTAATGATTCACTGCACAATGTTGCAAGGCGAGACTGGAATTCCCTCATTTGTTGGATAGTCTATAGAAACTAGCAAGAAAAAGTAATTAATTACCACTTATAAAGCAAGTAAATCAGTCACATTAACATTGATGCAATTTTTGAAACTATGTTTAAAAATTGTCTATTGAAGGAAGTTACAAATATCCGAGAAATTGAAGTTTCTGGGACCTCATTTACTATTTTTAATTGATTTCTATTCCCAAAGGGAAAAAACCATTTTCGTGTATTATTTGGAACCATAGGTACATCTACTTTCTGGAGCGAATAAGGGCTGATACAACCAACATTTAGTGGCATTAGGAGTTTTTCTAATTTCCCTGTAAAATGAAATCTGTGAAAGAGTATTTAGATTTAATTAATTTAGCCTATATAATAAATAATGCACATTATACATGGTTCAAGTTTCAAGTAATGCCAAACCCTTTTCTCCAACAATATCAAATAAAGAATGCAACCTGTATGCTCACCTTAATTAAGTATAAAATTCTCCAAGATGAAAAGTTAACAGCAGATACCTTGCTTTTTTAGTAACACCAAAATGAACACTCTTCTACTCTTGATTTCTTGGCCAATCTGTAAAAATAGAGAAGAAAAACGAATAAACAACACTATGTAACAATAAAAATGTGAAATACATTGCAATACGCATGGCATCGAAAAGCAAGTAAGATTGCAAGACTTTAAAAATGGCGACGTGACATTGCTTTTAATACAAAATGGACAAGATGCATAAATTTCATACATTCATAAATAATTACCTCAATTTATGCTGCAGACATATAAATAACTGTGAACATAAATGGAAAAACAAATCACCAAATCAACACCAATTAATTTACGCTCAAATTAAACATCAACATTGCTGTAATTTAAATTTTAAAATAAAAATTATGTTCTTAATATAAGCAGTCTTCTTCATTTCTACACAATTTTTAATCGATGTTCTTTTAATTTTGTTTGTTCTCTATGAACTCTTATGATAGAATGAACAAATGTAGTGGCGCTATAAACGCCAATTGGGGATAAAAATGATATTTCGCAACACAATTTTAAGCGGATAGTTAATTATTATAAAAAAAATAATATATTTTTACCACCGTATGCATAATGTTCTAGGAAGTCTTCTTTCGCGAAAATTAGCAACAAATTAATAACATGCAATTAATATTAATTGTACTATACATTGTCACCTTGATTACCTGCAGAGTGTAACGCTCCAAAGTTCATTCAAGCAAAAAGTAAACCAAATTCAGAAAGCTATCAATGCACACTTCGCTTATGGTCATCACTAAGGTCAAAATTAACTTCTAATTCTCTTTTACTTGTTGGTCAATCTGTAGAAATGAACAAAAAAACTTTTTAACTACCACTTTTAAAGCGAGTAAAACAATAACATTTTAAAATAGCGATGTACTGGTGGTTAGAGACAGCCGAAAACAAAAGTGATGGATGTGCATGTTATCAATTTAGTACCATTCATTAATAAGCATCTCTTTTATTGAAAATTTAAAGGTTTAAGACTCCTTTTTATCTTAACATTTTGTTCTCATGCTGAAGTTAAGATACACACAAAGTAACAAAATTTCTATTACTATTTATAACAATTAAAATAAATGCTCTATTGCTTGTACTATGTTGATTTTTACACAGCAGGTTAGGGCTGGTAAGGACGAAGTTCTGTATTAATTATGTCAATATAATCTCACCTTAATTACCTGCAAAAAGTTGCATTCTAGAGTCTACAAGTGTGATGAGCAAACCAAATCCAGGAGGGATGCCACTGCAGATAATTCGTTGTTTCAGTGACTCACTTTCCAATTACCTCCCATTCTCAGGGCCAAACTAATTGCACAATGTTGCAAGGTAAAGACCTCAAAAGCATCGGTTGTTTCAGCAGCATCAAAATTAACTGCAATTCCCTCACTTGTCCCATAATCTATAGAAATAGACAAGAAAAAGTAATAATTACCACTTTTAAAAAAGCAAGTAAATCAGTAATATTTTAAAGTAGAAATATGATGATACAGTTTGAGACAGGTGATAGGCAAAATAATAGATACACAATGTACCATTCATTAATAAGCAAAATTACCAGCTGTCACATTCAAAATTTACATGTATTTACTGCTCTATTTACCATATCATCTGATTCTCATATTAAATTAAAATATACTTATATGTAGTTTGTATGTATTATGCTATTTTCACAACAATGGAAAGGTCAGTTCCACATAAATTCTGCTGTTCTGCTTCTACTATTTTTGAAATGTTGTTTAAAACTTGTCTATTGAAGCAAATTACAAATGTCTAAGAAATAGAAGTTTCTGGGACCTCATTAACTATATTTTTAATTGATACTGTTACTTACCAGTTCATTGTCATAAAATCTTTCTTTAGCAACACACTGTCTCCGTTCCCAATCAAAAAAGGCCACTTTCATGTTTTCTTTAGGACCGTAGCTACAGCTGTTTTCTGGGGCGAATGACGATTGCTACAACCAAAGTAATGTCGAATCCTTTTCTATGTTACAAGATCCTCCACTTCAAGACAAGACGCATAAAATTTGCAGATGCTTAGTAATTATATCCATACTAGTAACGAAGAAACCATACAGCAGAGACTGAAAAATAAAGTATAAATTCAACATTAATTATTTTATGTTTAAACTTCAATATTGTTATAATTTGAAATTTAAAATTAATAAAATTCTAAAACAACAAGAATTAATTAACTACCACTTTTAAACAATAATAATTATAAACAGTACTAAAAACAAAGGGTTCAAAATTGACTTCCTGTTCACTTACTTATACATCAATTTGTAAAAAAAAAACAAAAAGAACTAATTAATCAATATCACTTTTAATTAATATTAATTAAGATTTTAAAATGGCACTGTACTGGTAAACTTTCTGGGTCTCACAGACAGGTAATTGGTAAAATACTAGATGCACGAAATACCATTCATTTATAAGTAAAATAAGCTGAAAATTTAATTGTTTGATCCTTAACCCTTTTCTTTGCACTTCGTTGCTCAGGTTTGCCTAAATTACATAGATAAAAATATTAAAAACAAAAGCATAGATTCTACACTTTATTTTAAAAGCATAGAAAAGCCAAGAGCAGAAGCATAGGTTACAAATTTTATACAAAGCATAGATAATCAAAAACTAAGGTCAAAAGAATGAACCATAGATACAAGATAACGTTAATGTATGCGATGGATAAGTAGGGTGAGTTCCGTTAAACTAATATGCAGAATAATGGAAAGTAACAAATACATGGACCAAGTGTCTTACAGATTCAAAATAAAACATTTGATAAAACGTTAAATGTATTCGATATCAGATATAATTAATTCCCTGGTACAATCATTTGGCGTCAATTAAATAAGAGAATGTTTAATAGTTTTTGATTAAATGAAGATTGATTTACTGCCAGCATCGCCAACAATTTATTCTCAAAGTTCTATTTAATTAACCAGAATGGCTCCCGGTAGTAGAAGCAATAGTGTATATGGGCTGGTATAATACAAAAGCGAGTTATCTCTAGACATAAACCTAAATTGAAATAGAAACATTGAAAATTATTTTTTATCTTAACTTTCAAACTTTACAACAAAAGATAAATAACTATGTATTCTAGTAAAGGGTAGGTAAGCACTCCAGGGCATCGAATGTATATTTATAATTATAAAAACATTAGTTAAATGTTTGTTATATCTTTGTTTTGATTATTTCAATGGATAAATTTATTTAAACATCTTACTTCTTTGGTGAACATGGTGAACTTATGTACGGTAGTGAATAATATCTATGATAAGCAGTGGGTTATTTAAAATATTATCTATGGTAAAATATCAGCAGAATAAATAAAGTACAGCATTATCCTAATAATTTGATAAGGAAACATCTTTAAAATGCTAGAAATACTTTTAAACAACAAATCTATAACAACTGCAGAAGATGGTAAAACATTATCTACTATCAAATCAAGAATATTTCAAGAAATCGTAAGTACAAACTCGGCCGTATTACTCACAATGTATTAATAATTTTTTATTCTTCTAGGGTATCAGTTTTAAGGACATTTATGTATTAGTTAATGGTAAACTATGTTCTGAAGACTTAGTTTTACACAATTGTAAAGTACACTTTATGTCAAGATTATGTGGTGGCAAAGGGGGTTTTGGTTCTATGCTTAGGGCAATAGGAGCCCAAATCGAGAAAACTACCAACAGAGAGGCTTGCAGAGATCTCAGTGGTAGGCGATTGCGTGATATAAATGAAGAACAGAGACTGAAGACATGGATAGCACAACAAGCAGACAGAGAGAAAGAAGCTGTAGAACGTAAGAAGAAGAAATTGGAAAAACTATGTCAAGAACCAAAATTTGAATTCAAAGATGAAAACTATGACAAGGAAAGGTCAGAATTACCAGAAAAGGTCGAAGTTGCTGTCTTAAAAGGCCTACAAATTGCAACAAGTTCTGGAATTAGTAAAAAGCGAAAAGGGGAAGGCAGAGGTCCAAAATCCAAGAAACCTAAACTATGGTATGTTTGTAAATTAACAAAATTATACGTTAATGTGACATCTACTTGACATCAATTGATGAAATATAGTTTTTTTATTAATTAAATGGACTTAATAAGTGATGCCTTAAGATGGATAATATCAATGTAAATAAATATTTATCTCATTTCATACTAAAACAACAGTTTTTTTGTAGGGTTGATGGTGATTTAGATGATGAACTGAGCTTGTCGAGTGAAAATTCAGATTCAGACTCAGAATTGCAAGAAATAGTTATAGCAAGCAGTTCAAAAAACCGACTTGAAACTGCCTTAGAATCTACTAATAATTCAGCATGCAGACAGACTGGACCTGAAAATGAAGATGATGAAAATGGAAGTAAAAGTGAGGAAAAAAAATAATTTAATGGGAAGGAAATATATACTAAAATATAAATAGGAATGTATTTTCTATAAGAATATACATAAAAATGAAATTGCAATGGTAACCAGCATTGTCTATTTCTTGGTTCAAATAAAACTGATTGTTTTATTATTAGTTTGCTTAAACAAATGATTACTTTTATTAAAAAATAGGTATGTGGGCTGCAGTTTACCTTATAGTGAGCAGGGGTGAATATACTTGAGGGATTTTTGGGCTGCTGCCCTGGGTCCTATGGAAACAATAGGCTTGCAGCCTCCATTGAGAATATAGACGATATTATGAAGAAACAATTATCTAAATTTAAAAATATATCCGAAATTGCAACCCTGCGATTAATCAACCCATGTATGCATCTACCGATCGGAACGAGGAGTTCCCTGTCCCTTGTTTTCGGTCGGTGTGTTTCTTTGTGTGCGTCTATTACGGAGGACTTCCAGTCACTTATCACCTAACGTAATTTTGTTTTTTTTTTCGCACTTCTGTTCTCGTCGTCAAAAAGGCAAATTAACTTGTTATTGTTAGAACTGTGTTTAAATATTTTGCCCAATTTTTTTTTGCTATACTGTATACCTACAACATTATAGACAAAAGTTATTTGACAAAATGACAATTGGTTGAGTAATTAAGCAGGCCTCTATATATTACTCCAGGGCGCCACAATTTCACGATCCGTCCCTAATAATGAGGCAGAACTGCAATCTTTCTCCCACTTATCCCTCTTGGTCGGTAGTAAGAGAACACACAGTTGCGGCTATTTGGGCCATCGTTATCGTCTACGTGTATCAAAACTTTGATAACTTAATGTTAAATTAAGTAGAGATATTGTAATAATTTTTACTGGAGGTTTTTTGTAGTCCTTGCACATCGATGGATTTAGCTACTATTTTATTTATATATAAAAACCTCACCTGCGTCATGTGATTGTTCTTCCGAAGACAACCTGAAAAGTAAAGTACGTATCTAATTTAAAATATCTAAAATGAAACACGGATAGTAAAGATGTCTTTTCTTAAAAAAAGGAAAATAAACAATAATTCATTTTTGTTAAACTTTATATGAACTAGAAAGTTAATCTTAAAAATAACTTCCGCATAACTAATTGTCATTATCTTCATCATTTTCTTTTTCCTGCTGCATTTCAGACTGGAATTCTTCACACTTTTCATTTGCTTCTGGATTTTCTTCAATAGTGTTTTGTATCTCTATCTCTTCGGATTCTTTACTATTATTGTCTATAGGTTCTTCTTCGATAGGTTTAGGAAACTTTTTTTGTTCTTTTTCTTCCTCATCACTATCTGAATCTCTGTCCTCCCCAGGGTGGGAAGAAATAAATCCTTCATGCTCAGAAACGGCACATTTCCCTGGTTCTTCCCATTTCATCTGCTTCTATACCAAAAGAAATTATTTGTAGGATTAAAAGCGCAACACGTAACGTAATATAGGTAACTTACATAATAAGCTTTCATAACTTTCACTTTTTCCATATAATACTGATAGACAAAGTTAGCCATATGAGGCATATCTAAAACAACAAAGGGAGGGGAGGTTAAAGGTTGATTACTGTACCTCGTCGTAGGATGTGGTTCGTTCAGCACCAGATGCAATTGTGTTGGTCTTTGCGTAAGCTACAAAAATTCAAATTAATTAACAATAAAGACATCAGTATTTTTTTATTCTTGTCTTATAAAATAAGGAAGATAAGGGTATAATATATTATATTAAATTAATATAATTAACATAACTCTTAATTTTTCATAAATATATCTTATTACAATCAATACTTACTAAATAAAATGTAACTTTTTGCTAACCTGGCCTGTGTACACATGACCTGTCCAACTCTATAGGGGGTATATCATACCCAGTATAATTTTATATTGATAATACTCTTGCTAATAAATAAGTAAATGAGGTATTGAAAGAGCAGGAGAACAAAGGGTACTACGAAAGTCAGTAAGTAAAAGAAGAGATAAAATGGTAGGACTTGTTCTAAAATGTGAAGGACTAGTTAGACACACTAGAGGCAGAAACAGAAGTTAAGAGGAAGGTAGAAGTATTTCAAGATTAGATTGTTATTCCCAAATAGTTGGATGTTTTAGTTACCGGGAAACACGAATATTGGCTGAAGATAGGAAGGAGGCGGGGTGTGTGTCCAACCAGTTTTCGGACAGACGACCTTATGATGATGATAAAAAAAAGGCACAAAATCTTTTAAATTTACCTGATGAAAAGCTGGCATCAGTTCGAAGCAATTCCTAAACAGAGACACTCGTGCAAAGACGTAAAGGCCAAGTCTTGCTCGAGACATGGCTACAACCAATCGCCTAACATCACGTAAGTGTCCAACGGCTTTAGTTCGAACCAAAGAGAGTAAAATATAATCGTTTTGCTGACCTTGGTACTTGTCAACGGTAGTTACCTGAAAAAAAAGTTTTCAAGAGAAGTGAAAAATAAGAAAACCTCATATACCTTATGAGGTCGACCAATGAGGGGATTATCAGCACATCTACTATTTATTACGTCTCTAATTAAATGTTTTTGTCCATTGTAAGTGGTTAGAATTGATATTTTGTGAGCCGGATAACCAATGAGACGCATAAACATGAAAACAGCAACACAATATTCTGCCTCTGCCAAATTCTAGATAAATACAAAAGAAAATGTTAAAAGAGAAATTCAAAAGACATTATACAATAATTGTATATTACCTGATAAAAATATGGATTTGGTTCTGTCTCTCCAGTTCCGTTAAAGTCTTCCACATTAATAAGTTGAAAATCGAAAGCAAATCCAGGATTTGCCCTTTTATACTCTTCCCATAATTCCACGTGCGGTAAATTACCCAAATTTTTATACCGCCAATTATATAAATTGCAGATGCTGTAAAAAAGTTTATTAATATATAAAAAAAAGAACAAACTACTCAATAAAGGATTTACCTTGGTCTAGCTCTCCCTTGTCCATCAAGTTCAACAGTTGGGACTCCAAGCCTTACAAGTCTTGTAAAAAGACTCTGTTCCATGTTAGAATATTTTTGGAAGGCCATATTTTTTATGACTGGCGGCAACTGATGGTGGTCTCCTATCATTATCCAACGTTTCAGCTGATTGTAACCGTCTTCAGGATTTTGGAGTAGCAATGGAATGAATGTTTCGATCTCCAATATTTGGGCAGCTTCTTCCATAAGTATATTATCATATTTAAAACCTAAAAAAAGTTTTTAATAAAAATGACTTTATAAATGTTTAATAAAAAACATACCCATATCGACCAATTCCTTTCGCTTCAATGCCGCATGGGTACAGGTCATTGCAATGATTTTGGCCTCTTTGACTAGAAGATATTTAGATCTGTCTAAACCGGATCGAAGCAATTCAAACGCCCTGAACTCTTCCAATTCGTCGAACATGTGTTTTATGTATCTGAAGCAACTTTCAGCTATTTCTAAGTCTTCTTCATAAGACTTGCCTTTGAATAAGGGTTGGGGAGCGTTTTCAAAGAAATTTCGGAAGGGAAATTCGTCTGCAATAGTTTGTATGGATGCTGGTAGTTTCCCACTTTTGGGACGGATAATACTTTCGTAGTGTTCCCATCGGGAAAGAACCTGGTATAGAAAGAAGTAACCAGCCGTTTCGCACGTATATGCCACATCTCCGGGGACGTCGAGGGACTTCTGTAATCGTTCCACCTCGACCAACAAATCCAGACGTTTCGCCAAAACGTAATTCACTCTTCCATATCTGAAAAAAAAAAGTTTGTTTACTGTATGTTATAACTATTTTAGAAGATATTGACCTGCTAAAGTCTTTTTCAGTCTCCAAGGCTTCTTCACCATGACCTAAACGAAGAAGATGTCTCTCATCAATATCCAAAGCGACGATTTTATCGAACAGTTGATTCAAAGCTTGATTGGAATGTGTTACAATGAGGGTGCGTTGATTAGGAAAGTTGTGATAAATATTCGAAATAATTTGCACGGCAACGTCTGTTTTTCCGGTACCAGGCGGCCCCACGACTAATGTTAGACCTGGTTGCATTCCAGCCTTAATTGCTTCGACTTGTGTGGAAGTGAATGCTATAGAATTTCTGCAAAAAAAGAATAAATTCATTAAAAAAAAGGGAAAGTAACACGCAGAAATCTATTACATAAATAAAGAGAAAAAGAAATATGTAAAAAAATAAGAAAAGAAGTACTATACTTTTTTGGTTCATTAAATAAATAAGGTCCCCTGCTTGGTATTACGTGGGGCTCAACTACCAAAACTTTTTCTTCTTTTTCTTCATTTTCTCGACCCAGATCCTTAAAACTTAATCTGCAATTAAGGAAATAAGAATTAAACAACAAAAATAGTTGTCAATATTATATTTATGTACTTGAAAGGACGTTTCAACTTCTCGGGATTATCAGTGTTCACTTTGATTTCATAATCAGGGAAGCAAGACCTTAGATGATCCATATCAATAAAAGTATCATTAAAATCGGTGGTAGATATCTGGTTGGGCATTTTGGTATAATGAGCTGCACTGGGATCCCCATATCCCAGAATAATATCGTGAAGCCAATCAGGAACAACACATTCAGTGTTCATAAGTTCTCTAATTGTTTCCAACACAGCCTTAAAGTTATTTTCCTTGGGTTTCCTACGCATCAAAATATTAAAACCTACAAAAAAATAAAAAGTTAAGTTTAAGGAATTTTTTTTTCAATAAAAAAAACACCTTCGTAGACATCTTCGTGTCCTTCATTGGCCCTGTTCATATCGTCCCTGTATTGATTACAATCCAGCCAAACCCTATAGGTTCTTTTATCCCCAGGTAGTTGAGGTCTAGGTTCTGGACCGTCCTCTATCACCCTGCCGTTACTGTCTAGCATCCCTTCCACTTCGCAACCCCTTACATAGTGCAAACCAACTTGTGGAATGAAGGGTTGTTTGTAATCATAACGAGTTCCTAAGAAAGACAATATCAAACATTGTAACGTGTAAATATTATTTATTTATTGGTAATACCGATTGTGTTGGGAGGATTTACTGATATCAAAAAACACACGTCATGTTTCCGTAGGTTTTCCCATTCAGCTTTTACTTCCGGTCGAATTGATAAGTTAACTGTAATGTCTGCTCTAACTCTGCTAGGCTTTTTCTCGCCAATGTTTGGCTTTGAAACTTCCACGACAGCAAAATTGATAATGGGCTGCGCCATTCTGGCCCAACCACCCCAATAAACACCGCCATCTTCAGATTTCCTATTGGAGAAAAATATAAATATTTAAACATTAAAAATTGTATATTTTTAAGATATTGAGTCCAGAAAAACGTTTCTGTGAACAATCTGGAGAGAAGTTATCACTTCCGGTTTTTTCGTATGGGTACCGAAAAAACCTTAAAATTCAATTAAATTGAATTAACAAAAGGTCGAACTTTTCAGTGAAATTTTTCACACACTCCTACGTTAAAGATTAGAAATACGAATACAGTGATTAAAACTTTCACCGAATAATGGTATACCATACCATGGACAAAGTCTGCTGACAGCGTCTTCGATATCTTGTCTTATTTCGTCTGAAACAAACACAAAAATATCTTACATAAGCAATTTTTATTAAATTAGGTATTTAAACGTACATGTAGATTCAAGTCTGAATAAATTAAAATTCCGTAACAAATAATCATGCAGCGTCAAAAATTGTAAATTAAGTTTGGGTAAAGCAAGACATCCCTCTCCCGAAAAATATGCTGTTGGTACAACGTTTTCGTTCCAAATGACATCTTCAGTAGGATACAAGGGCATCTCGTTTAAGGCCTCAAGTTGAGACACCCTACGTTCATGCCTAGAAATCTGTAAATTGACAGTTACAGAAAAAAGGGGATTTTCACATAGAATAACCAACCAGTAATTCCCTAAGGAACGTTTCATCCAATCTGCACCAGTTTATCAATTTTTCTTCTTCAGGAGCCGGTACTAAGTTTAAATATGTAGCTATAGCCCGCAGCTTTTCTTGGCTGAAATTTGTTATATTTATATTATTAAATCATGCTTAAATAATATTTTGAGATTTTATACCTCAATGGACCAAAATGTTTTATAAGGGAATTTCTAGTATCGACACTTGCAACATTAGCCAAAGCAAACATTCGAAGCTCTGGAAATTTAGCGAACGCAGCTTTCTACAAAAAAATATTTTTTAGACGTAAGACTCAATTCGGGTTTCGCAGAACTAAACTCACTTGTAATGATGTTATTTTCCTGTAATGAATTTGCGTCATATCATGATCTGTTAAGGGATCTCCAGATTCATCATTGATTTCAAAACGTGCGTAAAACTTTAACATATCCAGTAACTGTTTGAAAAAAATTGAATATAGTTTTCCTTAGTTAACATCAGCTGACTAATAAATTAATAAATTTGCCTGTAGTTTATAAATAAACAACTCATTTTCATAGAAAATATTGTAGGTATTGTTGTAAAATTCAAAATTAAATACTTAAATCATTAAAAATTAAAAGTACGTACAGGCCAAAGATATTCTCATAAAATACAAACATTTGTTACTTGTTACATTAATTATGATATAAATGTGATATTTTACACCCTTTAAATAAAAACTTCTTTTGACGTTATAGACACCCTGCACTTCATATAACCGAATGTAATTTTTCGCCATGAATTATTTTTTTTTTACATTTCTATGCCAGCAACTAAAAAGTNTTTAAAAAAATCTTATTAGAATACAATTTTTAAATGATAGCTTATTAGTAAATTAAACTATAATAAAATGAAACCTTAAATTTCATTTGAAGATATTAGAAGTTCTAAGAAGCGAAATAAATGAAAAAAAGGTAAATAATACAAGTACTTCGTTCTTTTTATGAGTTCGTTTTGAAATACATTTATTAATATTACTGGTGCAGCTCTTAAGCTCTATAATTCCTACGAACGGGAAAACCCCAAAATGTGCAGTTTTAACGAGTTGGTGACCAATTCGTTCTAGGAGCTAATTTAGATTGATTTTTAAGGTTTTTGATACACTGAATTCGAATATGAATGTATTTTTTATTGAAAGTAAACGTAATAAAAAAAACTTGATTCCGTTAGTATCATTTTAAATATGTAGTAATAAGTAATTATTTTTACATACATATATCGATGTTATATCATTTAGTAACTGTTGAATTAATGAAATTAATTTGATTTTAAAAGAAAAGTACATTCTGTTATGTAATCTCCAACCGACGTTATGCTATTTTGGTCTTTATCAAGGTAGTTTTTGACCTAGGTGGGGGCAAATGAGATATATTCTATAGGTAACCATAAAGTCGTCAGTCCTAAGACTGGTTGGACACGCACCTCCACTTTTTCCTATCCTGAGTTAATCTTCGCATTTTCCTAAAACTAGAACATCCCACATCCTTAACTATTTGCGAACAGTAATCTAACCTAGGTCTACCTCTACCCCTCCTAACTCCTGTTTCTGCCTCTAATATGTCTCTGACTAGACCTTCATGCCTGAGAAGGTGTCCTACCAACATATCCCGCCTATTTTTTACTAATTTCAATAGAGTCTTCTGTTCTTCTATTTTTTCTAATATCACTTCATTTCTAAACTTCTCTATCCACGGTATCCTCATCATTCGTCTGTAACATAACATTTCGAACGCTTCTAACCTTTTCTCTTCCGCAGCGCCCACCGTCCATGTTTCGCACCCGTACAGCGCCGTACTTCAAACATACACCTTTAACAACCTTTTTCGAATTACTAAATTAACCGTTCGCGAGCATAAAAGTGACTTATTGAAGGTGATTCAATCCTGCGCTATCCCCTGCTTTATATCCCTACTACTCGTTCCGTCCTGACTTATCTGACTTCCTAGATACCTAGGAATCATCAAATCATTCGTATCCTATCCTTAAATTCTTTTTTTTCCCTTGCATACCAGTATTTTTGTTTTAATAGCCAAAGGTCCCGGGTTCGATTCCCGAGGGTACGACAACAGCAACAAATCTTCCTTCATTAACCTGAGGTAGTTATTTATAGTGTGTAAAAAATTGAAAATGAATTTTCACATTACTATTTAAATTAATTTCGAAAAATAAAATCATGTACTGATTATTATTTGAACTAATTAAACATCTATTCAGAATGAAATCATCATTTTATAATTGTATTTGCGTAAAAGCGCGTTGGATAGTTGAGACTGTAGTTCTAGGTTAATTTCAATATAATAAATGTAGAATTACCCAATTCGTCTCTGTAAAAATGAATACGAACAAGTACGCTTTTCAGAACCATTTTGCATTTAGTATGTTTTTCACGTAACAAATCGATATAAATAAGTATATAAATTATGCTAAATGTTGTTAGCGTTTAACATTCATAATATTCGATAAATAATCATTCTTCAAATACGAAGATACAAAATATACTATGGGTAGCCGATACACGATGAAATCGGCATTTACTTGGTGAAAATTCATAGTAAAACTGGTACTTTTCACAATTTTTATTCAGACCACGACAATTGTTTCGCTAACACAGTAGCTGTTTTAAGTGGAATGTTACATTTAATATTGTACAAAATTGTATATGCCTTCTAAAAGTGGTGGTTACGTTAGAATAAATTTAACAATGGTGATGTACTTAACTCTATTTGATCATTTAACAATATAACTACGTATTGATTTTTAATTTTATTTATTTCCAAATACATACTCTAAAGTATTACGTTTTGTTCCTTTATTTAATGTGTGTAAAATTTTATAGTTTGTATTAAATTTATGATTTTTTGAAATTACTACAGATAATTGGTGTACTANAATAGAGGTAAATACATCGCAATTGTTAAATTTATTCTAATGTAACCCCCGGTTTTACTTAAGGTTAATGTTATACAAGCTAATAATACTGTTTAACACTCCACTTGAAGAAACTACCGTGTTAGCAATTATCGTGGTTAGAATAAAAATTGTTTTATTTTATTGGTTTTATAGAAAAAATATAACCGATATACTACTTTTAGTTGGTTCACAAATTACAATAATAGTATATAATAAATAGAGAATGCTAGGTAATTATCATTTGCATTTTTTTATAATTTAAATGTGAATCATATTAATTATAATCTGCTGCACATCATTACAGAATGAAAATGAGATCATGTCATTCGTATTTTCCAGTTAATTCACTTTTTAAAGAGCATGTAAACATTTATCACACAATTATCTTTAATTTATCTTGTAAACATCCAATTAATACTAACAAACAACCGAAAGGCATTTATTTTAGCGATTCAGGCTTAATTACATGAAAAAAAAGACAGTTACCTTGAGACATGCAATGCTTTCATCTATATGTACACACAACTTACGCGGCTAATCAAAAAAGTTTATTGAAGCGAAAAAGTTTAGTTAATATATTTATAGCAAACGAAAATCTACCTAATTATTACTTAAATATACAAAAGAGAAATGGTTCTTCCCCCTTATCAGTCACTATGAGCTCGAAATTGTTAGCATCATAGCTTCGAGTGATCGAAATTCACTTTTGTGAACAATTTGTTTAACCACTTTCTTTGTGTTAAAAATTGTTTGTAAATAGCTATGCAACACACCGTACACTTCAGCATAAGAAATTGCTGATAGTAACTACGTAATACTACTTTGCCCTGTGCTGACAGCACTCATAATTTCTTTTAAGCGCCAGCCAGAGCCGGACTGAACATTTTACCCCGGGGTACGATGTAACCAAATGGTCTGGTTTAGAAGGGAAAGTGCACAAATTTTAACAGCACTCGTTTTTAAATAAATTTAAGAAGTTAGGAGGAAATTTGCGTGTGTCTTTGCTTCGGGCTTTGCTCTTGTTTTAAAAAAAAGTTATTTTTAATTTCTTTTTTTTTTTCACATTTTTTGAGTCATTTGGACCGATTGCAAATGCACCCCGGGCCGGTCCGGCCCTGACGCCAGCTTAGAGAAAAGGTGATTTTTATTTATTTTTTTTTATAAGAGCATACCTTAGTTTAATTCTTGTTCTCTTATTAAAAAGTCATCATCTGCAACAGTTTTGGAGAAAAAAATATTCTATCGATGATTTCCGACTACACTTAATGAAAAGTAGTTATTTTTAAAAAAACTAAGTAAAGTCTTATGGGTACATATTCCTTTTTAGGCATTAATCTTTCGTATGCATATAATTTGACTAATTGTAAGATGGGCAAAAACTACCTCCACTCTTAAAGAAATTTTATTGTGATTTATATTTAAAGGCGTTTTATTATTCCTGAAAAAATACTTATCTTACCTATATTCTTTGTACCTTAGTAAAAAGTTGCATCTGCACCAGTTTTGGAAAATGTTATTTTCTACAAATCAGTGGAAAATAATGATGGTAATAGAATATTGATATTTGTAGGCCTTATGCACTAAAAACGTTCCAAAAAAGTTCCGAGCAACTGCATTTATGGGTAGGAGTGATTTTCTTCACCTTTGTCTTATTTTAAGAAAATTGAGTGTACATTTGTAATTAGCACATTCCATTTTTTTTTTTGAAATCGTACTAAAGGTTTATAAATAACAAGAAAAACGATTTCTTTTACATCTTTGGCGCTCTCCCGCGGTCAAACATCAATTTAGTTTATATGTTTTTGAGTTCGATTCTAGCGACTTATTTTGATCCTAGGAAGTTGTAGTTGCTCTATGTCTATGAGGCACCTGTATTTGGTTGTTAAAATAAACGGCTGTTTATTATTTAAATTGTTGAATTTCTACATCGTCACGTTGCAAAGAACCATGTTTAATTATTGGTCTACATATTTGTTATGCAAAGTATTATTAGTCTACGTACAGCGCCGTTCTTTTTTTTTAATCATTTATTAACTCTTGTCTGAAACTTCGTAAGTGGCTTCATTGTAACGTAATCTACACGTATCTATTTAATCTTTGAAAGCTGGGAAATGGCAGTTTTCAATCTCGAAAAATCCGAAAACACGTCAATTTTATTATGTATTAAAAAATTATAATCAGCCGATTGCTTTTTACTTGAATCACAAGATTATTCAACAAGAAATTTAATAAAAAAAAATGACTTACAAAAATTTTGGGCCGGCAAGACCTCAGTCCTGAATATGTCAAATTAACGAGGGTGTGAAAATTTATGAATAACTACTTGATATTCACACAATTTGTAAATAAATTACATATTACTACAATAAAATAGTCATAGTGACCTACAATATTCTTGGGCAGTTATTTGCAGACCTAATATCTTGTTCTGATTTTAACAATTACATGTTAGTGATTGTTTTAAAATGTGAAAAGTTATTATGAAATTGTTATTATATTTTCACAATAT